TGAGGATTTTTCAACCCAGCTTAAATCTAGAGATTTTAAAGCTGTTCTAATGTCAAAAATAAAGGAAATGACCCATGAACTCCAGTGCTCAGTGGAAGGATAACTACACCATCAAGCAGTGACCCAATGGCCCTTGTAGCTGTCTAAAATGTAGAGACTGTAAGTTGGCTATGAAAATTACACTTTTTTCTCTTTTGCTTTGACTTTGTGAGGTGGTTTTGTCACAATTTGAGGGGACACGCGTCACTCATACGTAATGTTTTAACGGGAAACCAAACAGCATCATTTTATTTCCAAGTAGGTATATATTCAGCCGTTCTTACCCACCATTTTGCGAGAACAAAGTATATGTATATATTAAGAGTGGTACAAAAAAGAAAAACAGTTTACTTGTAAAAACCTTTATGTCTTTTATATCTTTACATACTTATAAAAAAATTGTAGAGGGAAAATGAAAATGAAGAAAAAGAAAATGTTTCCTGCATAGCAGTCTTTCAAATTTCCTTTTAGCCGACAGGGAGTCGTCAGAGGCATGGGGCGAAGGCAACCCAAAAAATTAGGAGCAGGGGGAGGAGCTTATTTAGCCGGCCTTTTGCATGTATTTGAATATAAAATGTAATAAGCGTGGTACACCAAAAAATCGGTTTACTTATAAAACTCTTTGTCGTTGTCATATGAAAAAAAAAAAAAAGTACAGGAAAATTGCAGATGAAAAGAATGGGGGTTAGTGATAAAAGGTCACATCAAATCAAGGAATGAGTTGAAACTAACATAGTTCACTTGACAATTGTACGTCAGTCTTATAAGTGGAAAACGCTAAAAATTGTACATTGCTAGTTTTATCAACACCTTACCTAAATGACATTGGTTACTGTTACGGAAAATCATATTTTAGAGTCAGCTTTGTATAAAGCTATGATTTTGCATACATTCTTGGGAACCGCAAAATGATTCAGAACAAACCTTCTAAGTATAGTGTTCATTCCACTGCAATAACGCATAAATAAAAGGTTCTGGAAGAAAAGACACCTTATTTTATACCACTGAGGACAAGCAAAAAGGTCATATGGGTACCTCGGTTAAAAAAAATTTAAATAACTCTATTAATTAATACCAGTTCTAATTTTAAGGAAAAAGTTATGAGAATAAAATAAAAGTTGTCTGTACCACGAAGCATGCCTTCACTGTTTAGACTGAGAGTCCTGAAGCTTTTTTAGCGTGTATTCGAATATCTTATCACGATAAGTCCGCCACCCACACCACCCCGCGGTGTACTGTTTTCATTCAGCGGCTGGTCAGCGGTCACCTTTATGAGGTAAACATGGCGATCACCTCCTGATCACCGTTCTTGTCGATCAGAAAATCAAAATACCATCGTGATATGGCCTCGAAGATGACGCAGTTATGTTGTTTGATTCGTACTTCACATTCGAGTCGAAGCTTGGGTGGCACAGGTTATTTCTTACGGTGGAATCGACAAGGGAAATTCGAACACTAGTGGTCACTAGTTGTAGTGTTTGAATTGTTGGAAGAAATGGTCGCATGGGGATGTAGGAATGGTAGGTTTAACGAACAATTTCAGATTTTGCCCCTTGAATTGAAAGTGAAGTTCATTTAAATGCTTTCGTATGTATTTCTGGCTGTTTTAGATCTACCTGCTCGATTTTTATCTGCTACGCTTCATGTTGACAAGTACTTCAAAATGGCGGCAAAACTTGGAGATTGCCGAAAATGAGGTAAGTTCACGGACTTATAAAGTTTTAGTAAAGGTCGGGCCGCAAAGTTTTTTTCTGTAGTTACCTTTTCTATGGCACCTACTTCCTAGCTATATTAGTTGGATCAGTTAAGAACGCCTCACTTTTTCAAAAATGTACCTTGAATTTGATCGGTTTTCGCGTGTGTGACTTAAGCGAA